AAACCTCCACAGCAATACTGCCTTGCCATATGTGTAATTTTTCTTCTGCTCTGTCCAGGCATGATAAAAACTTGTGAGGTTTATCAGGAGTATGGAAGATTTGATCTCACTGCTAATTTAGAGGAACTGTAGATCTGGCCTCCAGACGCTGTTCCTATTTTTTTGTTGTTGTTGTTGTTTACAAGATTTTGTATTTTGTGTCCCTTGTTATTGATTGTCCAGGTGCTGCTACCATGCCTACACGCAATGATTCACTTCACGCTTCCCCTGTCTTTCTTCTGTCTGGGTGGCCTGGTCTGGAGCATGTCCACRTGTGGATCTCTATCCCAATTTGCTCCATGTATCTCACAGCCTTGGTGGGGAACTGCACCATCCTTTTCATTCTCAGAACAGAGCAGAGCCTCCATRAGCCCATGTACTACTTCCTCTCCATGCTGGCACTCTCTGACCTGGGCCTCTCAACAGCAACCCTGCCATCARTGTTGAGTGTCTTCTGCTTCAAWTACAGAACCATCCACTTTGAKGCWTGTCTTGTCCAGATGTATTTCATCCACACCTTCTCCATCATTGAATCAGCTGTGCTCGTGGCCATGGCTTTTGACCGCTTTGTGGCCATCCGGGAGYCCCTGAGGTATACATCCATCCTGACAAACTCAGTGGTCACCAAGATCGGAGTGGCCTTGACCATGCGGGCGGTACTCTTGGTTTTCCCAGCTTCTTTTCTTCTGAAGAGGATGAAGTATCACATGGTAAATGTTCTTTCCTACTCCTTCTGTCTGCATCAGGATATTATCAAGATGGCCCAATCGGACAGGAGAATCAGTAGCATTTATGGTCTAACTGTTGTTCTTTCTTCAATGGCTCTGGACTCTCTCTTCCTCATTGTGTCTTACATGATGATCCTCATGACCGTGCTGAGGATTGCCTCCAAGGAGCAACGTTCCAAGGCCTTCAACACCTGCATTTCCCACATCTGCGCTGTCCTCATCTTCTACATCCCAATGATTGGTCTCTCTATGATTCACAGGTTTGCCCAAAATGCCTCTCCTGTTGTTCACATCATCATGGCCAATGTCTACTTGCTGGTGCCACCACTGATGAACCCCATTGTGTACAGTGTGAAAACCAAGCAGATCCGCACGTGCATCATGAGAAAACTTTGCAGGAAGTTGGATGGGACTCCGTAGTTGAGTATCAGCTGCACTGGAGCTGTAGGGTCTCAGAGTGTTTGCACAGATGTGACAGTGGTTAAAAGTGGATGGGCAAAAGTCATTGCCTGGTGTTCCCTGGAGAAAGCTGCCAAGGGCTGTCAGGTGTGCCATGTTCCTGATCACAAGTGAGTGCTGGCCTTGCACCCAATCAGATGTCATTAATGGGAAGAAATGTGTATGACCCCAAATGATCTAGCTGCATAAATAATTGACAGAAATATGTTGCGTTTCTTTTTCTTCTTGTGACTGTGTTTTCTTCAAAGCTTTGTCCTACCTGTTATCCTTGAGAAATAAATTAATTAATAAATGTTTCAGTAAACATTAATACGTAAGTGACAGAGAAATGGGTATTTTCATCTATAATGTGATTGTCCACAAAGCATTCCTCAAAGAGTTAAGATCCCGTCTCTACCATCCACAATATCAGGTAGCCCGCATCTTTGCTCTGCTCTTATTTCTCCTGTTCCCTTAACTCCCCCATATCTAGGGACCGAAGAATTTGGTCAGAGCATTGCAGAAGGCTTTGCCTAGTCCCTAGGGCAGTGAATTCCCTTAAAAGAGTACTGGAGAGGAGAGCGTGGTAAATGTCTGGTTTGTCAGACTGGAATATCCTCTTGCCAATGGTGTAATCCAACTAGAAAACATCCAGGAGCAGCAAATGGGACATGCTGAGCAGAAAAGCAGTCTTTTCTGGCAAAACCCACACTCAGTCAAATATGAGCAATTCTTATGGCCAGGAGAACACCGGGGTCCTCCAGGTTCTTTGAGCTCAAGGTTAGCTTTTGGACAACTAACGAGCATGCCCCTCTGCAAGCCGGCCAGCCTGACTCTGGCTAAGGAGCATGAGGTCGTCACACGAGCAGAAATGTGTGCGCGTGACATCCTTTTACGTTTCAGTTCTTTTAAACCTCTTAAACGCCAGCCACCTGGAGCTGCAGATTGCAGTCAGTTCTGGAAAGCCATGTAGTTCTGGTTTTAACGTCTTTAGAGAGTGATAGAGGGAAAATATTTCATCATCTGGGTATGATAAAGTTGTAGCATCTGGTTTTCTGGTCTAGAAACCAGAAACATTTCCCAAACCCTTGCACCATGTTTGACACTTCACTGTCCCTCTACTAATCTTTTGATTTCTCTTTTTTTTTTTTTTTTCATTTCTTTAAAATCTCTCTTAAAGTCCTTAATTACCTTTGTGGTGGTTTTTTTTCTGTATTTTATGTGTATGAATTTGCAAGAGTTCCTATATTATTATTTATGTTACTCCCTGTCAGCCATGCTGTTCATCCAGTTTTGATGTTTTCAATATACCTAATTCACCTTCTTGCATAAGTCCAAGCTAATAAACCTTGTGTGTCTGTGTCCATCTATCATTTCTCACTAAACCTGCTGGTTATTTTCCACCGAGGCTCACAGAGCAGGATCAATCACAGTGATCCCAGGAGCCTCTGAACCAAGTCCAAAGTGTCTGGAAAAAGCAGATCTTACTCTAAAGTGTCTGGAAAAAGCAGATCTTACTCTTATTTTCTTATTTATTAGGAGGATACAGAGCAATGGGAAAACAGCCTTCATGGCTCCTGTTGCTCATGGAACAACATCCCCAACATGCGTGGCCTTGACCACAGATTGTGGCAAGATATATTTTAACATCATCAATAATTTGCTCATTTTTTTTATAATTTATGTGTGTGCGTTATTTTTTTCCGGGGGTGGTTGCTTTTTTTATTCTTGAACAAGATGTCACTTGGGGCCAGATCTCCAACTACTATAAATTATTATAATACTATTATAAATTAGAGAGCAGGGCTGGTGTTCAGAAGGGCCAGAAAAGGAGAAAGAACTAATTATATTTATCTAGTTTGTGTTGAAGAGGTCAGAGAAAACAGATCAGTTATTCTTCCATTTAGTCCAAAACAAAATATTTTTCCCCAATTTGTGCTTGAGAGAGTATTTATGATGTTTCCAGATAACTTTGAGATACCAGATACATAAATAGGTTCCCCAAAGGGAACTGAAATGACAGATGCTGGTAAAAAATGTACACTTCATATATGCACAGGTCCAACTCAAATCAATCAATAAAGCCCTGGTGGTGCTGGGATCACATTAGTTTGCACCAGTCATGACTCAGGTCCACGGTTCCCTCCTGATTTCTCCTTTTTCTTTTAGTGGCATGATTTACTTTGGGGATCAGCAATGGTACTAAGTGGAGTCTAAAAGGAGGAGAAAACCATATGGTTTCCCATGCATACAGACTGCTTTTGTGGTGCAGAAAACATCTCTGTACTCTCCTCTCAAAGGAATGACATTCCTGTCAGCACCATTGCCCGTGCTTAAAGAATATTCGGGACACTTTTTCTCGAATTAGTTTGTTTTTCACTGTGTAGACAATGGGGTTGAGCATGGGTGGTAGGAGCATGTAGAGGTTGGCCAAGAGGATGTGAACATGGATGGGGATATTGTGACCAAAACGATGAGTGAAAAATGAGAAAAATGCTGGTGTGTAGAACATGACTATGACACAGGCATGAGAGCTGCAGGTTCTGACTGCCTTGAGCTGGGCCTCCTTAGAGGACAGCCTGAAGACAGCCCTGAGGATGAGGACGTAGGACACCCCAATGAGCAAGATGTCCACTCCTGGTGACAGAAGGGTGGTGGCGAAGCCATACCAGATGTTCACGGCAATGTCAGCGCAGGCCAGACGGGCAATGCCCATGTGCTCGCAGTAGGTGTGGGGCATGAGCTTGCGACCACAGTACGGCAGCCTCCGAAGGAGGAAGATTGTTGGGAAAATCACAAAGAAGCCCCGAGCGATGGCCGCTAGCCCGATCTTTGCCATCACGGAGCGTGTGAACACCGCAGCGTACCGCAGTGGGTTGCAGATGGCAATGTAGCGGTCAAAGGCCATAGCCAGTAGGATGGTGGACTCTGCAATGAAGCTGACGTGTGCAAAGAACATCTGGGTGAGGCAGGCATGGAAAGACATCTCTTTGGAGAGGGACCAGAATATGCTCAGGGCTTTGGGCACTGTGGAGGAGGATAATACAAGATCTGCCACAGCCAACATGGCCAGGAAGAGGTACATTGGCTCATGGAGGCTTTGCTCCGTCACGATGACAAAGAAGAGGATGGAGTTGCCAAAGACAGCCGCGAGGTACATGAGGCAGAATGGGATGGAAAGCCAGATGTGCAGCTCCTCCAGGCCTGGGATGCCCATCAGAAGGAAAGAGGCAGGCTGCAAGCTGGTATGATTGACAACTGCCATCATGGGAGGAGATCTAAGCTGCTTTAGGGTATCTTACCTGTAAGCAAAAAAGAGTGGATAGTGGTGGTGTCATATCTTAGAAATCACAAAAATACACATGGAAGAGCAAGGAGAACTCTCTGTGGTTTCTGAAGTGATGTGGAAAAATCACTGCCCCCACCCAAGCCTACTTGAGATGTTGGCTCCAAACCAAGTGATAAATGAGTGGCTGGCATTTTATAGACTCAGAAAAACAATCCACAGAAGGCATTTACCAAAGTTCACAAATCAGTGAAAGAGCCAGGGAAAGGAAGCCAGCCCCGCTAACTTGAACTACAGGCATTAATTGTGCTTTTGTTTTTCAGATCCGCAAATCACACAAGGCAGCTGATGAGTTGGACCTGAGAGGCTCTGATTTTCCAAGAATCATACAGAATCCCAGAATGTTCAAGGTTGGAAGGGACTTCTAGAGATCACCAAGACCAATGCCCTTGCTCCAGCAGGGACACCCAGAGCATGTGGCACAGGGTGGCATCCAGGTGGGTTTTGAAGACCTCCAGAGAAGGAGACTCCACAACCTCCCTGGGCAGCCTGTGCCAGGACTCTGGCATCCTCACACCAAAGAAGTTCTTCCTCACTTGGAGATGGAACTGCCTGTGTTGCAGCTTGCACCCATTACCCCTTGTCCTGTCCCTGGCCACCACTGAGAAGAGCTTGGTCCCTCCCTCCCTACATTCCCCCTTCAGGAACATATACATGTTAATCAGATCCCCTCTCAGCCTTCTCTTCTCCAAGCTGAACAGGCCCAACTCACTCAGTCTCTCCTCATACAAGAGATGTTCCAGTCCCTTCATCATCTTTATTGCCCTCCGCTGGACAAAATCTCTCTAGCAGAGATTTTATATATTTTGTATATTTATTTTAAATATATTTATTTTTATATATATTTATTTTATATATTTATTTTGTATATATTTATATATAGCATATTTTATACAACGTGCTAAATTTTTCAGTACCTACCTCACTGCTCTCCTTACTCTCTGCTCACTTGTCCATTCCCATCACATTTTGCAGGACATCAGATGGTGATGCAAGCCAGAGGCTGCCTGCGCAGCATCCCATGCTGTTTATTGATGGCACTAGCACATTGGTATGAAAGTGGAATCCAGGGGTCTGTGCGAAACAAATTGGAGTGGAAGATCAGCACCCACAAAGCACGTTGGCTCCAGGAAAGAGTGCATGCAGAGGTGATTCTGCCCCTCTGCTCAGCTCTGGTGGGGCCGCACCTGGAGCACTGTGTGCAGTTCTGGGCTCCCCAGTATAGGAGGGACGTGGAGCTTCTCGAGAGAGTCCTGAGAAGAGCGACTAAGATGATTAAGGGACTGGAACATCTCTCGTACGAGGAGAGACTGAGTGAGCTGGGCCTGTTTTCTCTGGAGAAGAGAAGGCTGAGAGGGGATCTCATTAATGTGTATAAGTTCAGGAAGGGAGAATGCAGGGAGGAAGGGGACAAGCTGTTTTCATTGGTGGCCAGCGATAGGACGAGGGGTAATGGCCATAAGCTGAAACACAGGCAGTTTCATCTCCAGGTGAGGAGGAACTTCTTCACTGTGAGGGTGTGAGAGCTCTGGCACAGGCTGTCCAGGGAGGTTGTGGAGTCTCCTTCTCTGGAGGTCTTCAAAACCCGTCTGGATGCCACCCTATGCCACATGTTCTGGGTGTGCCTGCTGGAGCA